GTCAGAGATAGAAGAAAGAAAGATATCTAGAAGACAGTCAATGCATGGGGAGAAGGTCAGGGTTGATATTTATTTTTATTGCTATTTTTTCCAGCACTAAGAAAGCAACACCCCAGAAACATGGCAAAAAATAAATAAAAAAGTTGGGCTGGAAAAGTCCAAGCCAGAATTACAAAAAAACATTTAAAATCTTTATTTTTCCTATGGCAAAAATGATATATTCTCAAACTCTGTAACAACGGTGCTACTTCTGCAATAAATCTGCATGCTGAAAACTATATTTTTCTGACAGCATAAATTTTCTGTCCTCATCTCACAAAATGACTCATTGTCAATATGGGAGAAAACTGCTCTCTATATTATCTTTTTTTTTTTTTTACCTTGTCACCATTTCTTTCTCCTTGTTAGAGGCATGGCCACCACTGCTGAGAGGCCTGCTTGCTGCAGATAGGAAATATAGGCGATGGTTTTTGAAATACTGATCGATTAAAGGGAGTACAACCTACAATACAGTGGAGAAAGACAGACATGGTCATCTCAGAGCTTCAAGGCTGCCGTTTTTAATATGTAACCTACTGTATAATGCCTTGTATTCAAAAGTTTGTCTAATGATTCCTGCCATGCAGTTGGTCCAATAAAAGATATCAACACAAATAAATCCTTGCCTCTCACATAATTCCTGAACCTGGCTACAACATCACTCTAACACAACCATAGTTTATGTTACTCATAATATGCAATGCGTATACAATGTAATATGTTTTCCATTCTTAAATTCTTGTTGGGTCTCTCTCTGAACGCTGTTTCTTTTAAAATCCCTTATATCTCCTTAAAAAATACTTAAAACGCCTTGCAAAAACAAGGCACTACAATGAATTTCTGCTTTACTCCAGCAATTTTGTTCCTGAAATTTTCTGGGAGGAATGCAAAGGAGAAAAGTGTTAACATCATTTAAAGATATTTTGCAATTTTACGTTATGCCCCAAAGGTTATTTATATTAATAAAACATACACAAGCATTGCCTTTGACATGGCTGCAACGTGAAATAAAAGAATCTGCGCCCACCAGCTGGTAACGAAATTCAGCATCCAAGTAATCAAATTCTTCTCCCAGGAAGCATCCTCTCTTGTCAGGCCCCTTATTTGCCCAAAAGCAGCTTGAACCCTCTACCTGGAAATTAAGTACTTCCAGCCCAGAAGGGATTATTGTTTAGTTCCTAGTGCTGATCCATCAGCCAAGTGGGAATTCTAAATAAAAAAGCCAAGAAGATAATTCCTCCTCTCTAATTTGGGGCATAATATAAAAGGAAAAAAGCAAAATGAGCTCCCCAGGGGCTGATATTGCAAATGGGGCTGTATTGTGTGGTAGTACTCTATAGCATGAATACTACAATTTATTGCCAAGGAATCAGGGTCAGTTAATACAGCAACACCTGTCTCTGCTTATTCACTAATGAATTGAAAAGACACCTTGAATATGCATGCACCAGGTGAGTTTATAAGTACCAAGGTATAAGCAGATTTTCCTAATTTAAAAGATAACCCCTTTCTGGCACAACCAGATACACCAAGATGGTTTTAAAACAAGGAAAGAAAGAGATAAGGTGACATTGAGACAGATCTAGCTGTATTTTTTTCATGTAAATAGAGCTTATATTAACTGCATGATGACTATAAAAAGATAGAAATTTACCCTGGCTCACTACTGGTCAAAGCTAGTAAAGGGAAAACATAGGAAAGATTATGAACAGGAAGAAGGATAAATTGTATACCATGAAGGAAAAATATAGAGAGACCTGAAAATTATTTGTAGACACTTTTATATGCTATAGTATTTTCAATGTGTAGCTTTTCAATGATCAATACTGCAACAAAAACATTCAGTACATGAACAAGTGCAAACATAACAAAAAAACCCATGCATCTTAACAAGCACTTTCTTCACTGAAAAGGAACAACAATGAAATACTGTACTTTGGCAAAGAATTTGATTTCTTGCTCATAAGGGAAGTGTTCTCCTTTGCCTCTGCTGCCACCATCTGTGGGTAAGAAGAATTTAAGATGCACAATGAAAATTGAAAGTGATAGTATTCTCTCATAAAAATGTATACTTTAGAACAAATAAGTTTGGTGTTCTTTAGAGTTGCATTTTAATATATTACAGATATAATACATTAATTACATATGTATTTTATAAGTGATTTATGCAATACAAGCTACAGTAAAACCAAAAAGAATTGGCTGAATATTGAGGTAGTGTATATCAAGATAATTTTCCAATGGAGCTATGTAAATTTATATTAGCTGATTCTTTGGCTCTAAAATTTTATCTTTGCAATTGCTAGTAATTTCTTACAAAGATACTATTATACATAATAACTTTCCCTTAAAGACTTCTTCAGTTAAAAAATAATTCCACCCAGTATTTGGAGAAACTTTTTGCTGTAGTCAACACTTTCCTTATCCAAACATGCCCATTTTAGGAACAAATCAAGGACTTATATTTTGAAAAGTTTAAACCTAGGAAAAAAGTAGTTACAAAGCCATTTTGACTATGCTTCAGTCAGGGATCATGCAGCCATCTAACTAGATTACTGTTGCCTCCTGTTGTGGCTCACTTGTTCAGGAGCAACCCACAGCACGAGGCACAGTAGCAGAGCATAAGTAGGGCAAAAATTATAAGAAATACATGAAGAAGTAAATAAGAGAAAATATTTTTCCTCTTCCCCGCAACATAACTGAATTCTCCAAAAAAATTAAATTCTGCTTAGGGAACCTAACACCTCAGAAGAGTAATTACATAAATGAAGAAGCAAGTTTTTGATTGAACTAGATTTTCCCTGTAGTTTACAGAACTGAATTTAGATTCCATTCTATGTCATTTTGCTGTTGAATGACTTTAATAAAAGTGTCCAATGGAAAATAAACTCACTTCAGTTGCCATATTACAATAAAAGTCAGATACCATTTTGATATACAAATATGATGCAGTCTTCAAAATCCCAAGAGCATTTAGGACTGTACATTAGGGGCATGCAAAGTGGGCCCTATTTGATTCGGACTCAGATTCGGCCTGACTCGGGGACAGTGATTTGATTCATTGATTTGGATCATTGTCCTTGATTCGATTCGGCCGAATCCAAATCTGAAGATTCAATGCTGATTGGGAGAATCAGCAATTCAGACCTAGACACAGCTTTAAATGTTTTTTCTACATACCTCAAGGTACCAGCACGGCTTGTGAATGCTGCAATGTCGGGGCACATGGAACATCCCACAGGAGTGCAGGGGGGCCCCTCTACATGCACGGCAGCAAACCTGGAAGTAGACCAGAAGTACTTCTGGTCCACTTCCAGGTCCATTGGGGAGCATACAGGACTTCCCCCTCCCCACGCCCCTGGCTTGGCAATCGGCCATGGGGGGACCCCGGGCGCCCCCCTCAGACCCAGGAGACACCAGTCACTGAGCCAGGGGGCATGGGGGGGGCGCCCATGTGCTCCCTGGGGGACCTGTAAGTGCTTCTGGTCCACTTTCGGGTCTGCTGCTGAGCACATGGGGGAGACTCCTGCATTCCTGTGGGACACTCCATGCACCCCAGCATTGCAGCATTCAAGAGGCGACTAGTACCTTGAAGTATGTAGAAAAAACATTTAAACCTGTATCTATGTCTGAATCACCAAATCAGGGTAACATTAAAAATAGAGAATTAGGCACTATGGTAATAGCTAGGGCCCGGTTTAAATTGTGGACCTAGATAGCAAATGTCATAACCTAATTGTGGTAGGGGCCACCATTTTCGTGCCCAGATCATGGCACCAGTGATCTCTGCTCCCCACACCCGTCCACCATGCAGGGACAGGGGCTGAGGAGAGGAAGGGAGGGACGCCCCTCCATCCCCTGCAGAGGGGCTTCCCTCTCACTTCCACACCCAACATGGGGCAGGGAAGGCATGGAATGCCTCCCCCTACCCCCTAATGTGCCCCTGGGAATGGTGGAGGCGATAAGTGGGGTGTGAGGGAGGGCCGGGCATGGCGGTACCCTTGCTTTCCTGGCCCAGCAAGTCAGCCCCTCTCCACTGGCCACTGCCACTTCAAACTGCCATCACCTAAGGGGCTCTAGTCCCTTGCACCACCCCCTGCCCGTGGACTGTGTAGGGGCTCCTTGGGCAGTGAGCTAGCCCTTTCCCACTGGCCATCACTGCTGCCTTAAGTCACCACCATTCCAGGGGCTTTGGCCACCTCATGCTGCCCCCTGCCCACGGGCTGTGGAGGGCCTGGGAGGGCAGCAGCTTCCCCACTCTGGCACCAAACAAGGCCAGGCCAGGCCAGCACACAAAGATGGAGCTGGGGAGGAGGTCACTACCACCACTGCTTCTACCTCATGAAGGCCAGCAGGGCTTGGGAGGACCCTGGCAGCAGAGGGAGGAGGGTGCTATTCTTCTCCTCCACCCTGCTGCTGCCGCTCCTGCTGCTGGCCAGCCCCCTCCCCCGCCCCCCCAGCCATGCTGCTCCTCTCTTTAAAATTGCACCCACCCCCACTCCTTCCATGGTGTTGTTATAACAAAATGTCATGATATGGCTGTTTGCTGGGGACTTCCCCCACAAGTAGCTACATGGTGGCGTTCTGTTGCAAATCACATTTTTCATGAAAATCACTTAATTTTGTGATTTTCACAAAAAATGTGAAATCATGATTTAAAGTAGGCCCTGGTAGGCACCTACAGGGAGGCCCCCTGTATACATTACAGGAATTGTGCAAATAACTGGTTAATTGCACAATTTCCTGGAAGCCAGCTACACATGCAAAGTAGCTATCACACAATAAGAAGCTCCAACCAGCTATCAAGTTAGACCTCAAAAATATGTACTAACTTTACAGCTGTTTGCTATCAGGCTTTAGTTTGCATGTGTAGCAGGATCCCCCTTGCAGCTGAGGGCCCTGTCAGCATGCGTGCACTATGTCCAGTATAAAACCCCCCAGATCTACAAATTGCAGCAGCTGCGGTCCCCAGGTCCCAGGGATTTTACATGCCTCAAGTCCTAGGGATCATGGCAGCCACAATCCACAGGGTCTGTGGGTTTCACATGATCCCCAAGGTCTGTGGATGCAAAGAAACCCCAGGGGCCAGAAGATCGCTGCAGGGGAAATCCCCCTGCTGGGGTGTGAGAACCCCAGGGCTGGAGGTTCCTCATGATCCTCCAGCTCCAGAGGTTTCCCACACCCCTAGGATGTGGGAAACCCCTGGATGGGGCAGTTCTCTGGTCCCAGGGGATTCTTGTAACCTCAGGCCACAGATATCACTGCAGTGGGAATCCTCCAGCCCTGGGGATGCATATGGCACTGCTGTGGCTGGGAGCCCCTCAACTGAAGTACATTGGACCCCCAGCTGTGGGAGATTGCCTCTTACCAGTGCAGGGGGACCCTGGGATTGCACTGGCAATAGGGCACAAAGTGACCTAATATGCGATCCCACAATTGCGCCTCACGCCAGGCTTCTGTGGCATAATGGGGCGCAATTGTGTGAATTACACATTAGATCCCATTGCACCTTTACCTGCTTGTGTAGAGGGGGCTGAAGACACAGACCTTAGAGGATACATGGACTCACCTGAAAAGATACCTACAAACAAGGTTGGGGGGGGTGTCTTATTACTAATTGATGTTGGGCTGTCTACTGATAGAAATGACCAGTATCTGTTCCATTTAGATGCTATTCTAATCCAGTCTTATTTATACACTGTGATTATTTCACCCGTGTTATGCATATATTATCCTTTCCTATTTAAATTATATCGTGGATGGGATGGATTGTTTGGAGAACTGAGTCCAATCCTTTGCTAAAGAAGGCAAATACTTAAGTCTTGTCAACAAAACTATGTAGCGCAGACTAATGCCACATACAAGTGTTATGTTTCTACTAAGAGAATTGCTCCTCTCCCCATAGAAATTGTCAGTGTATGGGCATTTATTCAGCTTCTTGCAGAGATAACATTCCTCCTCCATGACAAAGATCTTCCATCATGAAATGAAACCTGGAACATCTCCCTGGTGAGACAGCTTCTCTTGCTAGGATGAATGACTATATGCCAGAGGAGGCCAAACCATGGCTTGCGAGTTGCATGCGGCTTGCCGGCATGGTACTTGCAGCTCTCCAGAAATTGGCCAAAGCCACGCCTACTTCTCCCCAAGGCGGCTCCGGGGGACAACGCAGCCCAGCACATCCCGCTGCTCTGGCTTTCCCCATGAGGAGCACGCCCCAAGCCCACCCTCCTCCCTCCCAGGCTGCTGGGGTGGGGGCTGCAGCCATGCTGCTTACCCCGAGGCATGTTACCTGTGGGGAAAGCCAAAGTGAGGGGGTCACCTCCACTCTGGGTTGCATTGGTTAGAAGTGGAGTTGATGTTTGTAGGTTTAAATTATGGCAAATGTGTCTAGAATGTATGGAAAGAAGTTCTTTCCAGTGTATCTGCAAATAAAAAACTAAATCAATTCTAAAAATCTCCTAAAGCAGCTAAGTGTGGAGAGCTGCAATGAAAGAGCAAGTTTCTCTGCTCCTTCATTGCTATCTGAAAGTTGGGAGAGGAGAAACCACTTTCCGGTTTACAAAGAAAATGTTTGTTTAGGGTTTTGGTTGGTTGGTTGGTTTGGGGAAGGAGATAGCTATGTTTTCTTTTGAGGGGAGGGCCAGATAGTGACCAAGGAAGACAATGCTACCA